TGTTGGTCAGAGGAAAAATCTCTTAATTCCATATTTAGATCATTTCTAACTTTTTGTTCTTAGGAACATGGCTATAATGAACCAGCTAGTACCTGATCACGTCTTTAAGATACATTGCTAGAATTCTAGAAATTTCTAGGTCAGATTAGAACATGCACAGTAACAATAAATGAAGGAGCAGAGGACCACAGAGGAAGAAGGTAGTCCTCATGAAGATATGGGTTCCATATCACCTTTCCCACACACAGCCTGATCTCGATTGTTTCTCTATGTACAGTGTTCCTCACCCACATTCACGCAGCAAATCTGACTGTGTCTTGGCTAAAACCTATAATGCTTTCTGTTGTCCTTGAGTAATTGTCTTCCTCCAGACTAGGTCAGATTAGAACATGCACAGTAACAATAAGTGAAGGAGCAGAAGACCACAGAGGAAGAAGGTAGTCCTCATGAGGATAGTGGTTCCATATCACCTTTCCCCCACACAGCCTGATCTCGATTGTTTCTTTATGTACAGTGTTCCTCACCCTCATTCATGCAGCAAATCTGACTGTGTCTTGGCTAAAACCTATAATGCTTTCTGTTGTCCTTGAGTAATTGTCCTCCTCCAGGCATTTGTTCTAGATCCTACTGGGGGAGGTGGGTCTCGCTGGCAAAGTGAGCTTGGCCAGAACGAAGTTCTCCTGGAATAACTGTTGTCTACTCCCTCCCAGCCTCCTGCCTGCCCTATGTCCCAGAGAAAGGAACCGTTGGTGCCAGTGGAGACCTTGCTCCACTCTCTCATCTTGCTCTGGGGCTCACTGGAGAAGGGAAGATGTGGTCTCCAAAGAGTGGCTGGGCTGACGCTAAATACGTAAGACTTTAACAACAACATTCATCGGAAGGATTTTCCCTGGGCTGGACCCCGGGTGTCCCGCATGCTTTATAACCCTTAATCTTTACAGTATCTGAGTGAGGGTGCCGCTGTTATCCCTATTTTATAGATGAAAAAACTGTAGCTTAGAAGTCAAACTAGACAAGGCTCTTAGCTTCCATACCCAGCTGTCAGCCTCTGGACTTGGTGATCATGTTGGTGAAAAGGTACAGCTGCCAGTGTTGATCCCAGGAATTTCTTCAGCACCTAAAACAATTCAGGTGCCTAGTTGGAGGTCACACGTCATTGCAGGTTTATTTTGTTGCCAGTCTCACAGGGACTAAGCTGTGGATTATAGCACTCACTCTGTGGCAGCGGTTCTCAACCTTCTGGCCCTTTAAATACAGTTCCTCATGTTGTGACCCAACCATCAAATTATTTTCGTTGCTACTTCATAACTGTAATGTTGCTACTGTTATGAATTGTAATGTAAATATCTGATATGCAGGATGGTCTTAGGCGGCCCCTTGAAAGGGGTGTTTGACCGCCAAAGGGGTCGCTTTGAGAACCACTGCTCTATGGCCTCGGAAAGAAGGTTCCATTTCCCTGAAAGTTCCCATTTCCCTGAAAGCTCCCACCTCGTGGCTAATTAGAAAGGTTTGCGTTTGATAAAGTTTTTTTTTTCTTCATTCATCCCCATATCCCATCAGAGCAGCACAAAGAATTATTTAAAGTGCCATCTCAGATCTACTGTTGGGAGGTCCGCTAACAGTAAGCAAAGGGTAAAGGACCGAGGAGGAGGGAGAAGTTAACGAAACAGATAATCCTTACGGGGATACAGCTTCCAGATCACCTTCCTTCCATGCAGACTCTTCCTGATCTTTTCTCTGTGTACAGTGTTCCCTGGGCCACGTTCACACAGCAAATCTGAGCATGTCCTGGCTAAAAACTACAGTGCTCCCCGCTGTCCTTAGGAGAAAGTCAGAAGTTAAAGTGGCGACAAGAGCCTTGTTTGCCATGTTCTCCTCCTTCTTCTTCCCCACCAGGGTTCTCCATCACAGAAGCTGGAGGCTCCTTGCAGCTGGAATGTGCTGTGTCCTAGGCAGCGGGACCAGCACAGGTCCATGCTTCTCTTTCCCACTCACTCCGGTTCCTCCTTCTGCTAAGTCCTCTGGGAAACTTTCCTCTCTGCTCTTCCAGTTCTTTTCCCTAACACCCCGCCCCCCCAAGTCTCCTTTGTTCCTCCTCTGTGCTCACCTAGCATCTTACCTGATTACTTCTCACTGACTGTACCCACTTCCTACCTCCTGTAGCACTTAATATTCTATTACTATAATTGCCCTTGAGTTTAGTGGTCTCCATTTTTCCCATACCAGGCCCAGCCCAACACTCAGAACAATAGGTGGTCTAATAACCTGAGAAACTGACATAGCAAATGGTGCAGGCTCTCTCTTCCTTCTTCCCTAGAGGGACCTTAACTTATTCACTGTTTTTACTTCTTTTATTTCAGAGTAAGATCATTTGCCCCATTTCCCCTCAGGATTCTGTTCCTATCTATTAGGCCAACTATCCCCCCTTCATTGATGCCCACACACTTGCCCAACAAGTGAGAAGCCCTGCTCTGACAACCAATGTATCTGCCAGTGTTTAGATACATAGGAGGACTTTCTGGGTTAAACTTCAGAGGTAGGGATTATGGACAGACAGTCAGAAGCCCAGCCTTAGCACAGCACAGGTGTGCATATGTGCTCAGGAAGCCGCAGGAGAAAGGTGAGTCACTAATGTGGACACTTAACACAAAGGACCTAGACCAGTGATGGCGAACCTATGACACATGTGTCAGAGGTGACACGCAAACTCATTTTTTTGGTTGATTTTTTTTTGTTAAATGGCATTTAAATATGTAAAATAAATATTAAAAATATAAATCTTTGTTTTACTATGGTTGCAAATATCAAAAAATTTCTATATGTGACACGGCACCAGAGTTAAGTTAGGGGTTTTCAAAATACTGACACATTGAGCTCAAAAGGTTCGCCATCAGTGGCCTAGAGGATAGACCTTGTCTCTGAAACCTGCTATCCGACACCCACCCCACTCCAGGGGTCCCAGATTGCGAGAGGGTGCAGGCCAGGCCAAGAGACCCCACCAGTGCACGAATCCATGCACTAGGGCTCTAGTCTTTTATAAGACAGACCTTTGGGCTGAAAGAGCTTTTATTGGGTTCCTCATTAAATTAGTAATTGTTACCCATTTTCATTTCTTAAACCATTCTTAGGTCCTGGAAGCCCATGGATTGAAACCAATAGTTTTGAAGCCAAAAGAGGTAAGGGTGTTCAAGGGAAATTTGTCCATGTCAACAAGTCTTTATTTATACACTACTTTCAGTCTTCATTCCAGTCTCAGTGATTTATTAAAATAAAAATGGCTCACATGTTTGTTGAAAGTTGATCACTGAAGAAACAGTTCCTCCATCAATATTTAAAAAAAAATTCTTCATGCCATAAATGCTTAAGGGTTCCCTTACCTAAGAACTTAAACTTTAAATTGGGATCCCTAGAGATCCTTAAGAGACACTTTAATCCAGCATCTATTAGGATTCTCTAAGCCAAGAGTATTGGACTAGAAATGTTTTAGTGTATCTTGTCTACAATGATGATAAATTAAAGAAGAAATGTAGCATAGTTAAGATTTTATATGCCTTCCACACTGGAGCTGCTCTGCTGCCTTGAGAATGGGGACACTTAACAGCTATTCTATTTGCCAGATTTATAGTAGTAATTTCATGTAGGATGGCACTTAGTCCTAAAGTGCTTAAATAATCATTACTGACCTGCACTTCAGAAAACATGAATAAACATTGTTTAACTGACTGGCTAACTTTCCTCTCATGAGAGCAAAAGACTAAATCAACTTGTACATAGGCTCGTTACAGAAATACAGTAGGCAACCTCTCTCCTCTGCCCCAAAGGGTCTGGCGCTCATCAATGGGACGCAGATGATCACCTCCCTGGGCTGTGAAGCTGTGGAGAGAGCCAGTGCTATTGCGCGACAGGCTGACATAGTGGCGGCCTTGACGCTGGAGGTGCTGAAGGGCACCACCAAAGCCTTCGATACCGGTCAGCATGGTCCCTCTGTTTGGTTGTTATTCATTCAACCAGAGCTGGTGGGGTGGGTTGATTGAGGTCTTTAGACATGTGAGGGGTGGGGGTGAGTGGTAGGGAAGAAAGAGAAAACTCAAGAGCCTATGTTGTGCCCAATACTACTACAGTTTCTTCTAAATTCTGCCACACTCGACACTTGAAATGACCATGGTTTATAAATAGATGCTGATCTTGATAGTTAAGTAACCTGCCCCAGATCACCTAGGTCTGACTCTCATCAAACTAAGTGCTGTTTTAGGAAACTGTTTGCAGAGCTTTAGAACTACAGTAGGATTCAGTTTGGTCCCCTTTAGAAAATTGAGGGAGGGGGAACGACAGAAGTGGTAGCTTACTTAGGAAGTAGTGGGCTTGATGCCCTAGCTGGTTTGGCTCAGTAGATAGAGTGTCAGCCTGTAGACTGAAGGGTCCCGGGTTCAATTCCAGCCAGGGGCGCATGCCCAGGTTGCAGGCTCGATCCCCAGTGGGGGGTATGCAGGAAGCAGCCATTCAATGATTCTCTCTCATTGATGTTTCTATCTTTCTCTCATTCTCCCTTCCTCTTTGAAATCAATAAAGAAATACATTTAAGAAAAAAAAAGAAAGTAGTGGGTTTGAAAGACTATTATTATATACTAGTGGCCCAGTGCATGAAATTTGTGCTAGGGGGAGATGCCCATCAGCCTGGCCTGTACCCGCTCCAATCTGGGACTCCTCAGAGGATGTCTGACTGCCGGCAGTCAGAAATCCCTCTCGCAATCTGGGACTACTGGCTCCTAACCGCTCACCTGATTGCCTGCCTGACTGCCCCTAACCACTCTGTCTGCCAGCCTTCTTGCGCTCAACTGCCCCCACCCTGCTGGCCTGCTCACCCCCAACAGGCCCCCCCCTGCCAGCTTGATCACCCCCAACTGCCCTCCCCTCCTGGCCTGATTGCCCCTATCCGACTCTGCCTCTGTCCCACCACCATGGCTTTGTCCAGAAGGACATCCGGAAGGTCTCCCGGTCTAATTAGCATATTACCCTTTTATTAGTATAGATAGTAGGATAAAAAAAACTGTCTCAAAATCACTTAGTTAAATTAGACCACTATAGAGCTCCTTCCATTATGAGCCTAAATCTTTTTAGGGTAGCCCAGTGTCTTGAGTGAATTCCCAGTAGTTGAATTCTCAACACATAATTTGCACTTGCAGGTTTCAAAGAGTAAAGACAATAAGGAATATCTTGCTTTTAAAGATAAGTTTCTACTGCTCGGTGGTGGTTAGGACCCTGGGCCTTTTGAGGGCTGTGTCAGCACCGTGGATGATTCTGAGCATCCATGGCAGTTCGTTCTAATATAAGAGTTGCTCAGGCTCTTTCTCCTTCATCAATTCTAGACATTCATGCTGTTCGCCCTCATCCTGGGCAAATTGAAGTTGCTTTTCGGTTTCGGTCACTCTTGGACTCGGATCACCACCCATCAGAAATAGCAGGTCTGGGCATGTTTGTGTGAGTGAACTTATTTGGTTTTGTATTTTGTGGGAAAAATTGATAACATGTTCTCTGCTGTCTCCTTCACCTTTCCACAGAGAGTCACAGGTTCTGTGACCGTGTGCAGGACGCGTACACCTTGCGCTGCTGTCCACAGGTAAGTCAGCAAACAAAGTATCCTTTCTCTCTCTCAATGTAGGTGGGAAGCAGAAAAAGAGGGAGGTGTTAGAAAATCATTTAATGGTCAATTAGAATCCAAATTTTTTTACAGCTTCTATTAAAAATTTTGAAGATCATACTTCCATTTGTTCCATTATTGTCATTTCTATTCCATGTGATAAGCTTTTGAATTGCTTTGCTCAACCTTGAAGAGAAGTCTAACAGACATCTTGCTATGTTGGTTTAGTGCTCTCACTTTTTCAGTTTCTTAGTAACAACATTATTTTGACCAGTTAGTGGAGTTTTACTTGCTCTCCCTGTTAGATAGAACTAGGACCAGCCAGCCAGAGATGTTCAATAAAAATTCAACTCCCCATCCATGGTATACCTTAGCTGCATTTAATAGGCAGATCATGGTAAATAAATCTGTGAGGCTTAACTTTAAATAAAAAATGCAGATGACTTGGGTTAGCATGAGGTATTCTGTATTGATTTTACAACTCATTTGCATATGGTAATTAGTTGAATGAGAGATTAATTCAAGAATGCTTCTCAAGAACTGGGGAGAGGGGCATTGTTCTGCCTTAACTAATAATAAATAAATAAATAAATAAAATAAAAAGAGGGGCTAAAAAAAAAGAATGAAACAATACAGGATGAGGCAAACGTAGGTTTATGGTTGTTCAATAACACAAGAATAAACTCCGTGTTTTTCGTACTCACAACTGTAAACTTACTTTTGGCTCAGCCTGTATTTCAGCTTGTGTCAAATTCCAGTCTACAGTGTCATAAAGAGTCCTCCCTAGAGGACTCACATCCTTGTACTCAGCAAGTTCTATTCTAGCTAGTAGATCAAAAACCTCTACGGGGAAGAATTGCCAAATTAGATCTGCTATAGGCATACATACCACTTCCAAACATCCTGCTATTCTAACAGGGATATCAGACTCTATGTGACAGACAGTCTTCCATGTAGTAACTCATTTACTCTTGGATTTTAGGTCCATGGTGTGGCAAATGACACAATAGCGTTTGTGAAGAAACTGATTACCACAGAACTAAACAGCGCAACAGATAATCCTGTATCTTTTGACGTTTACTAAACTATCGTTATAGAATTTCAGCTGGTAACTTTAAGATCTGAAGTGATCACTGTGCAGCAGCTGTGTCCTGTCTCCTGTCACTTCATTTCATAAACTGAGTACCTGAGGCTCAGAAGTTAAGGGACTTTGTCCAGGTCTGAGCTGAGAGGTGGCAGAGGTAGGTCTCCGAACCTAATCTCAGGTTCTGAGTGGAACATGCCGAAGCTTCAAAATTGATCCATTAACGATGAAATGGGGGTGGATTTCCAGCATTGACTGAGAGGTTTCATGAAGACATTTTCCCTAAAACCCACTGCTGGGGTTGTTGGTAGAAGGAGGAAGACCTACGTGCCAGGTGTGATTGCAGAGACCGGGGTAGGTGGCATGTATGTACACCTTCCTGTTTTCAGTAATGCCATGATGCTTTAGATAGAAGCAACCTTTAACATTTACCAAAGTGTTTGTCAAAGAGGCATGGTCTTCCATATCCCGAGGTTTTATTTCTGACATGGATTTGACTCAAATCGGTGTTTTCTGTGTTTGTACAAAGAAGAGTAAGAACACTTCCATTTCTCAAAGACGAGGCCCGACTCCCTTTCCTGGTATGGGTATCTCAGAGCCATCTTGTTTCTGCCATGGAATGCGATCACTCAGGGGTCACACTGGCAAAGTCTCCACAGAGACAATACTGCCTGTGAAGACGACCAAACCCTGTAGAAATCTGTTTCTCCTAGCCCACATCTGCCTCAAGTCTCAGCCCTGGAGAGTGCTGGATCAGCATCCCTGAAAGCAGCTCACAGCGTGGGCTAGCACCCGGGTCCACAGTAGCTGTGTGAGGTGTCTCTGGAGAGCTTACTTCAGGATGTGGGTTTTGCGTCCTCTCAGATAGTTTCACAGTTAAGTCAAACCCACACTAAATAATCCTCAACTCACTAACCCACCTGTACACCATCCCACCTCCCAAAGGGAGTAGTTCTCCTGAACTCCAGGTAGTCGTATCTCATCTATCTGTCCTGTAGAGCAGACATATCCATTAGACATTTACATAATGTAGGTTGAAAGGATATCTTAGAGAGGTAAAACAAAAAAACAAATAAACAAAAAAAAAAACTACAAACCATTAATTTATTGGAAATGGGAGAGGAAATAATTCTGTACTAAATTCTCCCCCCACCACTTACCTCAGCAAAAATTTCAGCCAAAAGCCCTTTATTTAATGAAAGGGTTTTAATCCCTGATGAATTTCCAATTGCCTACTCTTTGGGAGTTCTCCTGCAATACTGGTGTTACCTGAAATAATGTTTTCCTAAGGTTTCTTTTGCAGATAAAGAGTACCTATTACCTAATTACTAGATATGATGGGAGTTAACTTCTAATTGCTATAATTGAATAGCCAACTAACAAATTTGGAGCTAAAGAACAATAGAACATGCTTATGTTCTAAATTGGTGCAGAGATCACTCGCTATAAGGATTCAGAGAATGGAGAGAAGGCCAGAGGCCTGTGGTTGGGGTGAGTTCATGGAGAAGAACAGGCGTGCGGTTATAATACATGGAAAAGGGCAGCTCCAGACTTGATGAAGATCATGGAACACGTGCATCTCCAGCTCTTTGGAAGTCAGAACCCTTCTCACACAGAATGAGTCCCTGGTTGATATAATAGGTAGCAAATATTCTTTAGCCCAGTAGGTAAAAATTAGCTCTTTGGAACCTGGAAGAAGGGTCTATTATGGCCTTTGTCTGTTGGTTTAAGTAAAGTGCATGATGGAATGCAAAGTCCCCTGAGAATATGAATATTCGGTCAGTCCAAAGTTGCCTCAGACCTAAGTGAGTTTACAATGATTTCTTGGCTACCCTTTGCTGAGAATGCTGACACCGATCACTGCGTTAGAGAGTTTGCTTGGAAGTTTTCCCCAAATTGATTATTCCAGACAATTTGCTGGTTGGGCATCAGCAATGTCTTCCAGTCAGCAGGTTTTCTATGGAGCACAAGCTCACAGGGCCCATTGAAGAAATAGAATTTGCTTTTACACTGGTGTCTGGTCTCTGCTCTTAGTTTCAGGTTATAAACTTTTCAAGAGCAACTACTACCCACCAGATTAGCACAGTTATGATACTTGAGAATCTCTAATCTCAAGAGAAAACAGCACTTTTATGCCTTGTGTTTCTTTGGCCTTGACTTGGGTATACACAATTCTTCTTCAAGATTGTGTGTGTGTGAGTGTGTGTGTGTGTGTGTGTGTGTGTGTGTGTGTGTGTCCCTTTATGTCAACAACTGCTTGGGGACTCTCTCTCCACATTTTACAAGGACTGCCACCTCAGGGTGTTCAAACCTTAACCTATTTTGAAAGATGGTCTTTGCCAGCCGGGGAGAGACCATTTCCGGAGGAAACTTCCATGGTGAATACCCAGCCAAAGTAAGCTATTTTTAGAATTGCTGCTGCCCCTGAAAGCATATTACAATACAGGCCAACTGAATTGAGATGCTCTTTCAGGCTCTGGACTATTTGGCCATCGGTGTCCATGAACTTGCTGCGATTAGCGAAAGAAGAATTGAAAGGCTCTGTAACCCCTCCCTCAGCGAGCTGCCCGCCTTCCTGGTGGCTGAAGGCGGTCTGAACTCTGGATTCATGATAGCCCACTGCACAGCCGCAGCCCTGGGTAAGGACACTGCCCTTTGCCCAAGCCTGTCCATTGAAGGGCCACTCCATTTTACCTGAAAATATCAAATGTTATCTTTGAATGAGATCTAATTTTCTCAACACCTCCATCTGCATCCTACCTCTCTTCATACAAACACAGCAGGCTGTCTCTTTAATATCTTTAAGAAAAACATATCAGACAAAACCTAAACAATATTATACTGACACATAATAATACACAAGTGAGATTGTAAACAGTGAGGTTTCCACAACTTCTCTGCAGGAAACAATTTGTCATCATATGAACTTTATTTTTGTAACTTTTCCCCTAATCTCAATTTGAAGACCATCAGAAAGAAAAAGATGTTCATAGTTAATGATGAAATGTGAACTGATCTAAAATAATAAAACGTTGGATACATTTCATTAGGTATACCAACCACTACACATGTGGTTACAACATGCAACAAGGAAGTGCTATGGGCTTCACTTATAGTCACTTTCTTAATCGTCACAACAATATCATGGGGCAGGTACTTATTATCACCTCAATTTTACAGATGAGTACCTGGAAATCCGAGACGTTAAGTGTCTTACCCGCACTTGCACAGCGAGTAAGAAGCAGAGAATTCAAAGACAGGCATTTTGGCTCTCAAATCTGTGCTCTCATTTCAATTATAGAGGTTCTCATTTTAATCAATACTTAATCCTAAAATGTGGCTGCCAAATTTAACAAATAGGAATGCAGGATATCCAGTTAAATTTGAATTATTTGGGACATAATTGTACTAAAACTTATATTTTTTTTAATCTGAAATTTGATTTAACTGAACATCCTGAATTTCTATCTGGCAAACCTGCCCAAGAGGCAGGATAGCATGTAGTTCACTGAGAGCATGGAGTCTGGGTTCAAATCCTGGCTCTGCCATTTACGGTGTGACAAGGAACTAATCTTAGTCTTGTTGCCCTCAGTTTACTCCTGTGTAAAATGGGCATGATAAATTTACCCAGTGGGGCCGTTTTGAGGATTAAATGAATTAATGCAGGTAAAACTTTAGAACTAATATAGCTGCTATTCCTCCTAATCCCTTCATCACCTGAGCCTCACACTAAAACTCAACACAAATAACCAACAAAGGGCCACTGAATTCATTTTCTCCTCTGTCCGATATCTTCTGCTTGCTCAATTACCTGCATATTAAAATATTCTTTCAAAGGGCAACCGGTTCTCCTATTAATCTGGTGGGGGCGGGAGGGGGAGAGGTAGTTGATTTCTAGAGAATATTATAGACCTTTGGAAGCCCCGTATGAATGTTATCTTCCCAAGCTGCCTAATGACGTTGCTCAGCTTGCTTTCGTTATAATGAACCGTTTTCTTTTTTTGGCCCCTTGTACGTTATCTTTCTGAACAAGCCTCACCACAGCCTGCTGATCCATGTAGCTGGTTTAGAGGTCTTGGGTTGCAGTGCTGGGACCTGAAAGTCTTGGGCAAGCCCATTTATAGCTAGATTATCTCGGGTAGGCTCCTTATAGCATGCAGAACAGTGACCCTTCACTCAGAGCCACTCTCAGCATCATAGAAAGCAGGGGTGGCAGGGGGGGAGGGAGGGACTGACTCTGAATTTGGCCTCTCCTGCTGGAGAGAAGGAATTCTGTAACCTAGGTCCTTGCTACTTAAAGTATCATCCTTGGACCAAAAGCAGAGCCATCACCTGCGAGTTTGTGAGAACAACAGCATCTCAAGCCTCACCTGACATGCAACATTTGCATTTTAATGAGATCTAGTGATTCATATGCTCCATAAAGTTTGAGAGACATCTATCTAGGTAATTTCTAGGATCTCCTCACCTCCCTAAAATATGAATCTCTGGTGACACAACCAGTCAAATTGTCCTCAGGTACCTGGAAGTGAGCACGGATCTCCCTGACATGCTAAATGCTTTCATTGTTTTCAACTTGGCTTTGTGCTATTTGGGTTCCCATCCGGTGTTAGAACTCATGATAGCTTTAGAGTCTTTCTCATTTTAGGGAAAACACAACATGATTCCTTCCCCAAAGGAACTTTGGACCATGTGGTGCTTGGATAACCACCGAGAGCTTCTGGAGTGGGTGCCATGGATCACTTTGGGAACATGTGTCATCTGGGCAGTTTTTCCGTTTGAACGTAATTAACTAGCGCTGACCTCTTGCAGTTTCTGAGAGCAAGGCTCTGTGCCACCCCTCGTCTGTGGACTCCCTCTCCACCAGCGCTGCCACGGAGGACCACGTCTCCATGGGAGGATGGGCAGCGAGGAAGGCCCTCAGGGTCATCGAGCACGTGGAGCAAGGTAACCCCAGCCATGCCGGGATCCCGGGCCTCACTCATAAATGAATGCCTCACCAGTGGTCCTCAAAGTGGGGTCCCCACCGGCAGCATCAGCATGACCTGGATCTTGTTAGAAAGGCAGATCCTCAAAGCCCCTCCCAGCTCTGCAGGGTGAGAAACTCTGGAGAGCAGGGCAGAGGAATCTGGAGGTAGCCAGCCCTCCAGGTGATTCTCATGCTGGAGATTCAGAACCACTCTTGCTGCCTAAACTGGTTCATCTGCTGGCTTTTAAAAACAACAACACAAGACTTTCAAAACATATTCAAAGTGGGGAGATTAGTGCCATGAACCTCATACACACCTCACTGATTCAACAGTACATTTGCTTTATTTTTTTCTCTTCTCAACCTATTTTCAAAAAAAATCCATTATATAATTTTCTTCCTGCATACTTTAACTTTTAACGCCGAGTTGAAAACAATGAGAGCATTTAGCATGTCAGGGAGATCCGTGCTCACTTCCAGGTACCTGAGGACAATTTGACTGGTTGTGTCACCAGAGATTCATATTTTAGGGAGGTGAGGAGATCCTAGAAATTACCTAGATAGATGTCTCTCAAACTTTATGGAGCATATGCATCACTAGATCTCATTAAAATGCAAATGTTGCATGTCAGGTGAGGCTTGAGATGCTGTTGTTCTCACAAACTCTGATGCCACCAGCATGCCATCATCACAGCCTGTCTTGGTATCACCATTGAGTACACATTCAAATTCTCCCAATTATCTCAGTGTCTGTACAGTGGGTTTGTTCAAATCAGGATGCAAGAGCCACATTTTAAATTTGGCGGTCAAGGTTTTAAGCTTCTTTTCATCCAGAGCTGTCCCATCTCCCCGCTACCCCCACTTCACCGCCCCCTCACCCTATTCCACTTCATTCCACTGACCAGCTGAAAAAAACAGGTCAGTTTTCTGATAGAGACTGGGATTCTGGACTCACCTGCTAGCTTCCTTGTGGTGTTACTTTTAACTTGCTCTCTGTCCTATGCGTTTCCTATACGTGGCGGTTGGCCCTAAAGGCTTGACAAGCCTGAGATCCCACCATTTTGGCAAAGATACTTCACACGATGTTAGGCCCTCTGCTCCCTGACCTCTTAATTACTGCTTGTTTTTGTTTTTTTAAAGAGAAATTGCCTTCCTTTAGGACTTATGTTCTAAGTTCCCAAGTTTTTGCAACTGTGTTTAAAGCAGTTGGCTGATAAAAGAATATCTCTATTTTAAGATAAATGAGAGAGTTAAATATTCTTTTTTTTGTAACAGTTGTATTGAGGTATAATTTATAAATTCTCCCAATTATCTCAGTGTCTGTACAGTGAGTTTGTCCAAATCAGGCCTCAATCACATCTCCAGATGGATCTAGAATACCTAGAAGTGTGTTTGGCACAGACATGGTGCTCAGAGATTTACATGACAATAAAGTTGGCCTAGAGGTCCAAATTATAGATCTAGCTCATCTGATGCAGTTCTATACATTTGTATCAGGTGCAGTTTAGAAAAAGAAATGGTATTTTCAAGCATGTTTACCGTCAGTTAAGTTTGCTTCGATTCAGATCTTAAACAAATACCTACAAATCTTGGAACCCAGTGGTGCTGGATATAAACTCGCAAGATAAGGATCTGCTTTATTACAGCGCCTAGTGATCCCTCATCACATAAGGGGCACAGAAAGAGGAGGATTCTGCCTGGATTGACCCATGAAGGAGATATTCTTCCTCTCTGCCAGCTTGGAAATTAGGGTCTAACCAGTGAGACAGACATTGGACAACAACTTGGCAACTTTTTGTAGCACGTAACAAAATTCCGACCAAATACTAGAGTCTGAAGCCATGAGAGAAGGCATCTCCAAAGAAGTATTTAAGATGAGGACCTGAACAACAAGTAGGGCCGACAAAGTGGGAGAAGTGCAATGGTAGTTTCGTAAGGGAAGGGGTGTGCACAAAATAAACCGATCTGAGATGCATGGAGATGAGAGTGCAAGACATCCAAGTCCCAATTTCTAGAATTTCAGTTGTAGTGAACTTGGTAGCTTTTGAGTTTGAAAGCTCGAAAGGGACATTGCTTAGAGTGGGGCCAAAGTAGGTTTACAGTTGGGAGTACACAAAACATGAAGTTTATTCTTGTATTAGTATTGATTAATAATTGTATTAGTTTCCATACAAACAACTGTAGACTCAGTCCCAGGGCAACCAAAGATTCATTTGCTTCTTCATCGGCTCCTTCAATCTTTTGATGAAGTTCTGAGAGCCACATATTTCAGGCCAAAGGGATCAGCAAGACTAACTACAAAAGGAAACTTACACAAAGGTGGAAATAGCGAACAGATTTTCCCATCGAGATTTGAAGAGGTGAGAAGGGGAAAACAGAGTTTACCTGGACTCTTTCCCCCTTCTCACCATTAAAGATGCATCCAAGATGGCCATCCACTTCTGTCATTCATAGCCCTCAAGCAGACGGTCGGACTTTCATCAGTCACCCTTCCTCCTTTCTCGTTTCAGTGCTGGCCATCGAGCTGCTGGCAGCCTGCCAGGGCATCGAGTTCCTGCGCCCCCTGAGGACAACCACTCCCCTGGAGAAGGTCTATGACCTGGTGCGCTCTGTTGTCAGGTAAAGTCTGTCGTCATGGAAGTGACACGGTCTCAGAACCGTGAGCCCTGGCAGTGCTCATGTTTGGCTGATGACTTGGTTTGCATTCTCTGCAGGCCCTGGATAAAAGATCGCTTCATGGCTCCAGACATCGAGGCAGCGCACAGACTGCTTGTCGACCAACAGGCAAGCTGACTATTCAGCTTCTTTCTTGGTTTGGGGTCATTACGGGAAAGTAAAGTGGTGTGGGTCCTGGAGAAACCTTGTCTTATTCATTCATTTTCTGGCTCTCCCCTGGAATGGGGATACCAAAAGGGTACTTATGCAATTTGCAAGGCCACCAAGAAGCTATTTGATAAACTCTTAGGTGTCCCATGTGCACCCAAACATTGAGTGTCTAAGGATTGGAAGCAAAAATAAATTTTAAATGGAGCTTTGGAACAAGTAAATGAGATGAAAGGTTCATGGATCCCCTTCATCAAGAATGTACTCTTTCATTCAAAAGTACTTTCTCATTTTTTAAAAATATCTTTTTATTGATTTCAGAGAGGAAAGGGGGGGGGGAGAGAGAGAGAGAAACATCAATGATGAGAATCATTATTCCACTGCCTCCTGCGCACCCTCCACTGGGGACCGAGCCCACAACCTGGGCATGTGCCCTTGACCAGCATTGAACCTGGGACCCTTCAGTCCCCAGGCCGAAGCTCTAGTGGCTAGAGACAAACCAGATAGGGCACTGTCTCTTCTTATAATGCCATTACCACCACCTGGTCCAATGCCTGCATAGATCTGGAGAGAAAACAAAGTCCCAGGTTTTTGCTTCAAAGGGCTGTGAGTCTGTCTGGTGCTCTGGCGTGTCCCACCCATCACCCTGGTAAAATACGGTTCCCTTCACTACTGATTTCCTCTGGCTGCATTGACTATAGACTCATCTGATAAAGACAGTTGCCTAGCATGCTGACTCATTTTTTAAAGTTCTTTAAACCTTTTGTAGTAATTTGTAATATCCTGTTGCTTAGAATTGCTTGATTTCCCCTGAAATCATTGCTCTGCTCTTGGGGAAGGATTTTTCCCTTTGATCTTCATACATTTTCTAAGGTGATACAAAAGAAGAAGGGGGGGGGGCGGTGGAGGGAAAGGCGCCTTGGCTGTCAGCAGCAATCAGGTAAAAAACAACAAGTAGCTATAAACCAAGAACAGGGCCTTCATTTGAGAAGGTGCTATGCTTGAAAGAGAACAGATTGCTGGGCCTGAGGCAGTGCTTCTCAAACTGCAGTGTGCCTGTGGATCTCCTAGAAATTGGGTGAAAATGCAGACTTGGACACAGTGGGACTGACATTCCAACTTGTCCCCAGTGATGCTGGTGCTGCTGGTTCTGGGGCCACTTTGAGGGTCTCAGAGACAGAGCGCACGAGACAGGGAAATAGAGCAGATGAGGAAATCCACTGCTTTTTATCATTCGAGGTTTGCCTGAGAAACCACACAGTCAGACCCTGAGCAACTTTCCTTAATTCTGTCCACACCGAATTCTCTAGGTTTTGTTTGGTTTTTGGCTTGTTTGGCTTTAGAAGAGCAAGCAGCTGAAAGCCTTCATGGTAACTTCAGAGAAGTTTTGGACTTTGTGTTTTAAAAGCTTTGAATGCAACCAGAGACCAATCAACACTGATCGTGTGTTAAATGCCTTATCATAAAAGCAAGCAAACAGCTGCTACAACTGTCTTCATCAGATAATGTTTTGTCTTCAGGTGAAGTTGATGTTTAATGGCATATGAAAACAATGTTTCAACATTTCGGTCTCATCCTTGTTCCTCAGGTGTGGGAAGTAGCTTCGCCATACATCGAAAAGTACAGAAGGGAGCATATTCCTGAATCGAGACCTGTTTCTCCGACGGCCTTTTCCCTGGAGTCTCTGCGCAGGAAGTCCAGCAGTATCCCAGAGTCAGCGGAGCTTTGAAGGGCTTTGCCGTGGGATGTAGATCAGATGGTACTTAGTTTGGCAGCAAGCAGCACTGTGCTGAAGGAGAGGCCTGAGAACTTTGTTTAGGTAGATCAATTCATTACATAATTCAGTTCTTCTAAAACCTACTTTGGCTAGACCGGTGGCAGCAATACGGTTCTAACTCTCCCACTGCGTTCTTGTTGGTCTGGTCTGAGGTGCAGCAGGGATTATAGGAGTTTTTTTTGTTTTTTTCTTTAATGCTATCTCACTCTTAAGGGTGAGAAGAGCATCCACACTGCATGGGTCTTTTAACATTAGAGCAACTCACATCTTGAAACAGATTGATGGCATTTTTCTAAAAACATTAATTGGAAAATCTTATTTGTTTGTTTGTTTGTTTGTTTGCTTTGACAAGTTCTCCACTAGTTAACTCTGGCTGATTGTACTATGCTATGACTAGTGTTCCTTAATACATCTTCATAAACAACCCTTTTTAAGTTTTAATTTGTCTTTAAGTTGCTCTTTCTTCTACTAATGGAATCATAGTAAAGAATAGTTGATAGGTCAACAAGAGGTCTGTGTAAAGGGATTAAGGATATAAAGATTGCTATTGGACTGTCTCTTACTGAACTGCGTATTTCATATTTATCAATTATCACTACACATATTCAAAAAGGACTCGATGCTTAAACTAGAGTTGGAGGTTAGTATGATCACTTTTTTTGCTATATGTTAGCACTCAAGTCACATTCTTTATTTTTATTAAATTTTTTGAGACGAACTTTACACAGTTATATAGGTGTCAGGTGTACAATTGTATAACACATCATCTGTATATTGTATTGTGTGCTCACCACCCCAAGCCAAGTCTCCTTCTCAATTCACGTTCTTATAATAACCCTGCGTTAAGCCTCCTCGTTTCACAGACAAGGAATCTGTTGTTCAGAAGTTAACCAACCCCTCTCTGTACTGGTGACCATTAACATGAAGCCCCATTGACAAAAATCAGAGGGGACCCTAGGATGTATTACCCAATATGTTTCTTCCCCCAAAAAAGGGCCTTCTAGGAAGGCGAAAGTATAATTTCCCAGATGAAGGATAGGTCAGATGCCCTCTAGGTTTCTAAGATCTGTGACTTTGCACCCCTCCCATGCAAATGTTGAAAGAACATCTAGTGCAGGAATCTGAAACTATAGCTCTAAAACCTACATCTGGTTAAGCAAGGACCGACACACTTGCCAGATTACCAGGCCGATTACAGCCTAAAATGGGACCACCAGCATATTTCACAATAGTTTTCACTCTAGATTGCAGCCTGTCCAGAGGAAGGTGGAGACAGAAGTCAGAACTACTGCCGACAGCAATTCAGAGAACAGAAAAGGCTGAGGAACCTGTTCTTGATGCTGTTCTTGCTAAAATGTGAGCGCGCGCACACACACACACACACACACACACACACACACACACGAAGTTTATTGATTCTTACCCAGGAGCAGCAGCTGAGCCAGCTGTCTGATGGCTGTTTTTCACTCCTGTTTTGGGGGGTGCTGGATCCCAAATATCCCCAGGGTCTTCAGGGGTCCTTTTTCATTGAGCTTTTTAAAAAATATTTTTTAATTGACTTTTTTTTTTTTTTTAGAGAGAGAGAGAGAGAGAGGAAGGGAGAGGGAGAAAGAAACATCCATGTGAGAGGGGAACATCTATGGGCTGCCTCCTGCACGCCCCCTACTGGAGATCAGGCCCATAACCCAGGTATGTGCCCAGGATTCAAACTGGCAGCCTTTCTTTGTACAGGACAATGCCCAACCAACTGAGCCACACCAGCCAGGGCTGTCATTGAGCTCTTTCAGTAACTGACATCACATGCCTTCAAGAGAATGTCAAGGTATATATAGAATAAACTCATTGTCTCATGTTATCACTGGATTCTTAGATTTTTTAAATAGTTTACCACCTCTATAGGGAAAGGCTATTCTAACTGTGGTTAATCAAGTTTCTGAAAGATGTAGTTGATGAATGTTTGCCCATGAAAAAGTATCTTTAGAAAATGTAATTGACTC